CGCATATTTCTCATTTGATGGATTTCTTTCGGCTTTTGCTTCGCGCGCTCGCTCTTTGTTGCTGTCCCCCACTGCACTGGTCTTGCTTGACATTTTAATGCGCTCAATTTCGAGTAATTTCTTTAATGGTAATTTTTTAATTTCATCAAGTGACTGCCATGCCGCCGCCAAAGTGAAGTGTCGAGAGGCAAGTGGCAAGCAATGAGCGGGTTGCTGATGCAGCTGTTGTTGTTTATGCTGGTGAATGCCAGTGACTTTGGTTGCTACATACTTACATACATATAAGCAGGGAATATATATGTATATGCGTGAGCAGCTATCTCTCTTGCCGAAGTCTTGTGAATAAGAAAGGTGTGGAAAATTAAATAGATTTTGAAGAAAATGTATGATGTTTAAAACTTGCTGCCGCTGCAATTGAAAAGGAAAAGCGTTGCTAATTGCTGAACTTTAATGCAAGGTGCCCAAGCATGCACATGTATTGAATATGTATATGTTGTTGTTGTGGGCAGCAAAAGTGCACAATCAAATAATCACATCCACAATGATGCCAATAAAGCATTAAGCTGCCACATCGTGCGGCACGAATGAGTTCTGCACGCAACATGCGTGTGAAATTTCAAACATTTTTCGCATTTTATTGTACAAATTACTATGTATTTGTATACTTCAGTTGTGCAATTAATGCAGCAGAAATGAAGCAATGAAGCGTCTTAAGAAGCAGCAAACAATAGACACATACGAGTACATAATTCAAATACATTTTTAGGTTATGCATACATATATACTTATTTACACATTATCACATATGTACCTTCATATGTCATTATATAGTATACCATATAAATATTTTTGTCTCTTACTTCATGTACTTATTTGCCACCTTTCTTCCTATCTCCCACTCACTCTCTTTTTATACCCCGAGTAGGGTATATTAAGTTTGCCACGAAGTTTCTAACACCCAGGAGGAAACGTCGGTGTCCCCATAAAGTATATACATATATGTATATGTAAGTGATTCGTGTGACGAGCTGCGTTAATTTAGCTATGTGCGTCTGTCTGTATATATGCGAATAAGTCCATCAGTTTTTGAGATATCGATCAGAAATTTTACACGCACCCTTTCTCCTCAAGAAGCTGCATTTGTCAGTACCGCCTATATCGAACCTCTATAGAATATAGCTCCCATACAAACAAATAGATTAGTATGATCGATTAGAATTATGTACGATGTCGATAATATGAAATTTTTCTAGGCTAGAATCCTATGAAGATAATTACAAAGCTATAGGCATTTGTAAGACAACAAAACGGGTCTCGAGTTGAAAACAGCATTTATTCTGAGACAGTCTCAAAAAATCGTCAGAAAAATTGAATTTTAGCAATCAAGGTTTTGAGGATCAAACTAATTTTTAAGTCATACCATCATTGTGGTCATTGCTCGTCGAAGTGTCGCTAACTGAAATAATTTCCGATTGCGGCTATTGCTACAAGCTTACAACATTACATAATTTTCTCTCTCTTTTGCTAATGATTTGAGCAAACACAAATTAAACCACCCGCCTAAACTCACACGCAGCCCAAGCGATTTAGATGCAATAACGACATGTTTATCGAATATTCGATGGCAAATATGTATGTATGCATTCAGATTTCTCCAGTGCTGGTAATTGACAAAATCGATTTGGCATTAAAATTCAACGATTTCTTGAATAAGTCAACAGTCATTGGCATAAAACAACTAAAAGCCAAACAAACAAACGAAAGGTTGAGGGTTATTGCAGTAGTCATGTGATGTGTGGTGTGCATGTATGTGTGTGTGTTCGCATGACTGTCTGCGGCGCTGCAGAAGGGCTAATATTTCAGTCGACCACATTTGCTTGCTGCCGCAGGACGCAGATATTTACAACGGTGCATTGCCAGCTAACAAAGGTACAACGGTGTATAAGTTCAACACACACATACAAACTAATGACTGCATAGTGGAGTGCTAATAACAAAAAAAAAAAAAGAAAACAAAAATCCGTTTGTGTGGAACGTGTGGAAGCGGCAGACAGCGCTTTAAACGCCGAAAAAGTAAAATAAATATGTTCAAGTGATGGTGAAGTGAACGGTTTTAAAAGTGTACGGTTATTTGTGGATGCCACAACTAAATGCGATACAGAGGCAACAACAGCAGTGCAAGTGGTGGCAACAAAACCAGCCAAAGCAGCAACATCGCAATCACCTGTCTACTTGTCTACACACACACACATAACAACCACTTAAATATATTGAAAATCCACCACGTTTCTTTTTTCCTTTTATGCACTTTTCGTTTATTGTTGTTACCGGTTTCATGCAGCGCTTCTGCTTTTATCCCTGCGTTACTCCGCTTTTGCTTGCCAGAGCTTTCGGTCCTTATTGCTGACGTCCATTGTGTCCCTAATCAGCGAGACAACTGCGCCATTACCGGTTTGGTGTCTGGTAACTTAACCTATAAGGAAATTACCGTAATGTACAGGACACGTTTGCAAGCGCCTACACGCAAATATAGTTACCTGCATTGGCTCAGGTGTAGTAGCGGTGCGAGTTTCCAGCCGGCAGTGAATTCTGTGAAATAAACGTGCTTGTGATGTCCTCTTCTTTTTTTTAGCAGCGTTTGAGCAATAGCAATTTTTCCTTGTCTGATTTTTTTAAATTTATACAGTTGCAGAAGTCATTTGGCGAGCTTTTGCTTAAACTTTTATGACTGTAATATATAAACAAATGTGTGTTTTAAATTGCTTTTTTATTTCGCTAAAGAAGTTTAAACTTTGTTACTCTGTTTTCCGGCTGTTTAACGCTGTTATGTAATATGATAAATCTACTTGTGTGCAATCATCATTACAAGTGCTTAGGACGGTGCCGAGGACACCTTTTGTACGAATAATTTAAAAGGACGTCACTTAAAGCCTTAGTGCATATAGCTAAAAGCATTTGTGGTGGAAAAATGTATGCCATTAATAATATTTATTTATATCTCTATAAATATATTCGTACATATGTATATACAAATTAGTGCGAGCAACTGTTTAAACGATTGCAAAAAATCATTATTTCTTGGGTAAGCGTATGTTATAAAGGTTAACTTAAACGACAGTCCCTCTCGATAAGAGGTGTAATTGCGACATTGGTGTTGAGAGGAAAATACTGTTAAATTGGTTTATCCGCTCAGCAGTCGAGCCTTAAAGCTAGAGTTTCCTTTAATTAATACAGTTAGTTCATGTGTTAATTTCGGTTTCTCTTGTTATTAATAACAAATAATTATAAAAATTGGTTAGCTCCATTATCTTGTGATCAAACGGTACCATCTTAAGCTCCGTGACAAGGTTATTTTAGGACTGAACACATCTTCGACATCTCGTACATTGGTAACAGGGTCGCAATTTCCATAGCTTAATTCTAAGTGGCCACATAATGTTTATCAGAAGGCAAAAATTAAATTATAATCTATTTTAAAAAAGAGTTAAAAATATAGCCTTTTGGGATGGTGCATGTTAACGTCTTTCAGATTTTTAAAACACAGTACTAACAGTAGTTCAAAGGTATCGTGGTATATTTCGTGATTATCATTTCAATTTTTGATTTCGAATGGCAGTTGTGGAAATCTTCAAATACGCATTTAAGTGGAAACCCTGCATTTTTCGAATGCAATTCTCATGCAAGACCAACTCTTGATCTCATAGTAAATGTTTAATTTCACAAACAAATTAAGCAGGGAAATCAGTTAAAAAATCAATCTTCTCTCGACCACCCTCTATTCATGAGTGAAATTTAATTACGTTGAAGGATAACCAATTTGGCAATGGCGCTGTTAAGGTTGACCGGTTACGGTCACAACAACCCTTGTTAGCCAAAATGAGTTTTGCCAAATCGTCCAGAACCGGCCCTGCAAGAAATCGAATGGTCTGCAAGCTAATACAACCTGCTTTTAAAGTTTAAAATTTTTTATGTGGTTGTGGCAAAGTGCTTTTAAAAATACTAGTCACTAAGTTTTTTCTAGACTTCGATCCTTTTTTCTTATTAGCGGTAAACTTCATCTCGAATCTTGATTTCTGTAATGTGATTCATTTGGATGTGGCTCCAACTTTAATTTGACCAAATTATTGTAGTTGTTTGGGTTTCCGTTACGAATTGCATATATATGTGTGTGCTATCTCTGGCAAATGAACTGCAGTTCTTCTCGCTTGCCAAAAATATTTTTCTATGTCAGTTCCTGCACTTGTTTTTTCCTTTTAAAATTTTACTTCAATTTAGTTTTTTGTTGCAGTTTTTGTCGCTGGCGCCAGACTGTGTTGCCATGTGTGTTCTGAGTTTTTATATGCGATTATAACGAAATTGGCGGAGCATGGGTTCTTTCTAATTTTTAGACTTGGTAACAGCGCTAATGCGGTGCACTGTGGTCTATCAGTGGCGACAATGTCGATGTGTGTTGTTATTGATTTTAATTTTCCATTGCTAGTGTCTTCAACAACTTGTTTTTATACGCTGAACAGGGTATTTTAAGTTTGCCGCAATGTTTGAGCTGAGTCAATTAAGCCATGTTCGTCTGTCCGTCCGACCAATTTTTTAAAGGGCTTAGAAGTTTATGATGGCGTCAAGTTATTTCTGTTATTATGTAATATTAGTTGTTCCATGGTTTAATAAATTTCCTTGCCCACTGTTCCATCAGCCGTTCCAACTCGCTGCAGTTCGCGAGCACGCTATGTCTAGCCGCGCCGTATGCGCGTACAAAGTAACTATTTGGCTGGCTGACTACATGTCTGCTCCGAGGCGGTCTGGAGCGCGTCTACAGCGCTGGCGTGTCTATTATTGGCAGCCGTCTTGACACCATTGCCGCCGCCCGCTTCGTTGGCGTGGCGCGCGGCATGGCATTCAAGACATTCAAGCCATTGTCAGCAGCGACGGTAGTGAGGTTGACACTCTTTACATTTGGATTGTCGCAAATAAAATAGATTTAAATAGAATTTTTACATTTCCAGACATTCACTGTGATTTGCACATACAAACACACAAGCGTACATATTACATAAGGTGAAGCGCCGTGCATGAGGTGACGTCTGATGAGCGTTGACTGTGTCACTGCGACTAATGCTGATCTGAATCTGAGTGAGCAAGATTTCTAAGTGAGTGTGTGTGTGATATTTTGTGCTCGCATTGTGCCAATGCGAGTTCCACGGGGCTTAACGGCGCGTCTTGGCGCTGCATTACATGTTATTTTCGTACGGAAATAACCTTGAGCCAAATAAACTAAGTAATTTTCTTTTTTGCGCGTTATTTTGGCTTTCTTTGCAGATACTTCAAGCGGACACAAATAAATTGTTGCCAACTTCATTCACATCAGCAAAGCGTAGCCCGGCGGTGTGACAGCGCATTAGTGGCACTGTGAAGGACGCAGGGATACACACTCACACTAACACAACATTAGTGACAAATAGTCAGCGACTAGCAGTCAGTCCCTGGTAGTCGATGTGTAAGCGCACGTTCCTCAGTGGCTGGCGCGGAGTCAAACTGCAACCCACATGCAAGGCGCGGAAAATGAATATAGGGAGTTTACGCAGCATATAGACACGCCTGTGAGTGCTTTGCTACCGCGAGCGGAAGCACGCCACATGGAAGCAGCGCTCATGTCAACGGCAACAGAGGCACAGTCAGTTTCAGTTGCATCTCAGAAACAGCTGCAACCTCAACACTATCAAGAAGAACCAGAAGCAAAGCCAAAATCCCAGCCAAAGAAGTTGAATGCAGCGAGTCCCTATGTAATAGAAATCGCTGATGATGACATGAATGCAAATTATCCGCCCAAAGCACATAAAGATGGAACCACAGACATGACTGCACCACAACCGGCGCGTCAGAATCTCTGCACATGTGTGCGCAGCGCAAGCAATGCGGCAATTGTGTTGCGCGTCCGCTCGAATTTAGGCAACGCCAGCGAAGGTCCCTGCTCACTTTCCGCCCAATGTCAGGCGTTGTCACCGTCAGCGACTCTGACTAGCACTGTTCCTGTTGCAACAGCGTGCGCTACAGTTAGACCGGAAACGTTGGCGACAAATCAGAGCTCATGCTGCACTGTCTGTTGCTCGCTGGTGGTGCTGGGTATGGCGCGAGACGATGAACAGGAGGGGAAAAAGCATTTGGCAGACTATCCGCACTGCTGGCCGCCGCCACTGTTCATTACGCTGGTGTCGCTTCTGGAGGTGAGTTACTAAAAATTTCGTTTTAATTTGATGCTGATACTTTTTGCAGACGATTGCTGGTTCGTGGAAAGCGCATACACAGCTGCATTAGTGCAGTTTTTGTGCCGCGCTCGCTTTAAAAATTCATTTATTCCGACGCGTCTGACTAAGTCATTTGTGCGCGCGTGAATAAAAAGTAAAACATTAAATTAATGCAGAAGCGCAAGCAAACAGAAAAGCAAATGTCCAAAATTTAAGTTCCTCACTTGGTTTGGGGAGATCTAGTGTGGACTCCACGGAGCCAGCTGAGCTTGTTATCTTTTGTGGCTACCTGGGTGGTTTTAGTTATGACAGCGACTGATTTTTTACTACTCCCATTAAATGCTTGCCACTGCAGCATTGCATAAATTTTTCCAAAAACAGGACATATAAAACTTTGCTTCATTAATTTAAGTTCACTGAATTCTAACAAGGAAAAGGCAGGAATTATAATAGAAGGCAAAAGGGTTCGAACGGCAACTACTCTAATATCTGGTGAAATAATGAATTGAGCAGAAAACCAAGTTAAATGGTCAACTGTAAAAATTCGGGTTACTATAAAGAGTCTTTGCCTACCTCTGGCACCTTATTGCGTGCGAGACATTACTGCTATACAGATCGATTCGGAGCTAACGGAATCGGAGACAGTTGCGACTGATGAGATAAATAGCGACGTTTGTCGTATTCGGCAAACTTGAGCCCATATTAGATAGAGTATGAGTAACCGTAAATTTTATATCTTTTATACTCTTATATATATTACGTTAACCATTTAGTAACCGATTTGGCAAACATTAAACGTAAAAAAACCATCCACAAAAAAATCATTATTTCTCACTTTGTCTATTTGAAAATGTGATCACTTAACGTACACTATATATCCGAAAATGCGCAAACGTTTACAGTTAGTGAAAACTATCTGCCATCAATGAAAAATTCTAAGTTTCGGCAGCGTCATTGAACTTCGTTTCAGAGCTGCCTTTTTGGGGCGGTGTAGGGCGTGAATGTAGAAGAGAAGGGCAACCAGCAGACTGGTGCGCTTTGTTTCAAATAAACTTTCAAAGTTGTTGTACAACTTCAAGTGGTAAAAAAAAACAAAAAATGCAAATAATAAAGTAAAAAGACTACAATAACAACACACGAGTTGGCAGCTAGGTCGAATGTGCTCATATTTCATCAGAGCCATTGTGCAAAAATGGGTAAAATAAAGTAAATAAAAGAAAACTCTATGACTGCAAACACAAAGGGGAGGGCCTGCCGGCAACTACAGCATACCAAGCGGTGTCTGCGCTGGCGTAATCTACGAGTGTGTATCTTGTGACCCACAATGGCTTGGTAACTGCCGGCATAGTGGCAATAATACACGTAGTGCGTACAATTTTCCAGGGCCATTCAAATGCACTGTGCCTCGCAGCGCCAACTACTTACATCCAAACATTCGTCTGTCCTTCCGTCCGTTCGCCCGGCAGTTTGGTTGTACTGCTTGAAAGGGGCGCAAATGTCTATGTTTATGCGAGTTAATATTACATTTCATAGTCTGGCACTTGTCTGTGCTTATGTTCGGGAGTAATCGTGCGGATGTCTGTAGAGTGTATAAAATATTTAGTTGCGCTGTTATTGTTCAACTGCGGTGGAGTGGGGGCTGCTGTTGGCTCAACTACTGTCTGCCGAATCGACTACATTTACATGGTGTAAATGAAATTTGAAAATGACCCGAGCGCGTATGTGCGCATGTGTGTGCTGGTGTGCAATAAAAGCAAATTTTCTTATGCAATAAAAATGGTTTCAAGCTCTGCGTCAAAGACACAGCCCACTCTGGGGGCAAAATATCCCCAATGCGCCGTCAAAGTCACTGCTGCACAGACATATGTATGAGTGGCCACCACTACTATTGCGGCGTAAGCGTATCGATAATGTCTGACGCGATGTCTCGCCAAGTCGCAATGGTCTCAAACTCTAACTTTGATTCCGCAGACAAACCGTCTTGCGTGCACTTGCTCGCCTGTGCTTGGCGTGTTTACAGTGGTGTGCTCGTTATGTTGGCCCGATGACGTGATGACAAGCTGCTTTACGACTTCTTCCGAGAGGAATGAGAGCGGCGTGGTGGCGCGCCCGCTCAGCGCTCAACCCTTGTCACTATTTTTATGATGTGCTCTTCATTTTTCATAGCTTTTCTGCGCTTTATTTCCTCATCAGAAGACAACGCGATTCCATATTCCATGTATACTTAATGGCATCCCCTGCGCAAAATATTCGCATTTGAGAAATTTATTCGCCTGTTATGCTCGTATCTGGCAGTTTCGATTCTATCTAATAGTTGATGACAGCAATATATCAATGAATTGGAGTATAAATAAGAAAGTAATTGGAATTCCACTACAGGCGCTTATTCCTGTTGCTGATCGTTAATCAGAAGTGATTAATTTCATGACAAACTGTATCTAATACGAGCACAGTTTGATAAGTCATGGACTAATTGAAATCCCTGCATAGTTACAAAATAAACGTTTTAACCATGTTGCACTTTTCCTTCGATTACCAGAAAAATTGATAAGCGATAATAAGCGAATGTTGCTCTTCGCCATGAACTACAAAAAAAAAAAAGATCCATTATTATACCCTGCTACTATACAGCAGCCATACAAACTGAATGATTAAAATCACGTTCCTGACAATTATCTCTGAATAAATTTTTCAAATCGGACCACTGTAACATATAGCTGCCATAAAAACTGAACGATCGGAAAAAAGTGTTTACATGGAATGTACGGATGTTCTAGTTTCCTTAATTAATTATCGAATTTAAGTCAAATATGCGCCGTTTCGTTAGATAACGGTTGAAAGTAATTTAATAACGCCACTCTCATAAAACTGTCGTACCTATTGCAAAAAAACTGGGGCATCGATTTTGATAAACCTATTTTGAGAAAAATTTTTCACCACAAGTCATTAGACAGAAATATGTAGAAGCAATCTCTCGAAAATCACTAACGATGTGTGTGGCCTGGCGTTGTCCTAATGTATCACAACTCTTCTCCGATTGGATGTACATTTCTGGGAGATTGCTTACTTTAGGGTATCCAATTGTTGACAGTACAGGTCCGAATCAGGTCAATCCTGTCTTGGTCACCGTTTGCGTCGGCCTCGACCGTTTTCGCTTGACGTTGTCCTAAGTGACTCACTTTTCGTCACCAATAGCCAACCGCTTCAGAATTAGATATTTTTTAAGATACGTCGGTCTATGAGTTACCTCTTGCGACTTCCATACATCGAGCTTCTTTTCACATCTAGCCTTATTTATATGGTACCAAACGTTCGGTCTCGACGATTTCGAATATTTTATAGATATTTTCGACAATTGGTTTTTCAGGGCGCCTTTAACATCAAAATTACCGATCGGAATCGACGAAACCAAAACTGCGTATGAGGTATTTAATTGTGCAAACAAACGCTTTGTTGGCTCACTTATCGGACCGTACTCGTATATGTATTGTATAAGATATGTGGTACATTTTGACAAAGTGTTTTGTATTCTGTTTTTCCATCCTAAGTCGCTAACTAAGATAAGAATTAATAAAATAGCAAAGTAGGACACATTTGCAAGCAAAGAAAAAAATAATACTTCTTGTCTTGTGGGATATATTTTGTAAATATGCGTGGGGACGCTAAACTTTTTTAAAGTTAATGTTGTATGAAGTTTTCTAAACTAGACTCATTCGACTGTCGAATATCTGTTCTTTTATAAAAAGTGAACAATGAATAAAAAATAATAAAGAAATATGTTAATCTATAGATCGAGATAGATAGATAGATTATATAAATGAATTGCTCTGCATTTGCTACTAATACTAGCTTTAATGAACTTCTAAGTAACCGCTCACAATAAACAACAAAAAGAGGAGATGAACGTTTGGTTCTCCATTCTGAAGCTTAAATTGTCAGTCACCTACTTTACTCTTCCGCGAATCGTCTATTATTGTCAAATGGAATTTCGTAACTGTATAACTGTACTTAACAATTAGACAATGGACAATAAGCGCGCACTTTGCGTAACAAAACGAATTTCCCACATTCATCGGAGATTTCCCAACGATATTTCAATGCAAACAAACAACAATCGTCTTCAATTTCAACATCTTTGAAGCATCTTCGTTTTCTTCTTCCACTCATTTGTGCGTTTCTTCTCCTTTTTCTTCAACTTACAGATTGGCGTCTTCGTATACGATTACATGACAGTCAAAATGTCTGTGACAGCGGTGCCGGTTACGAGGGCCACAGACGTTAGTGCGAACAAACCGTTCATAGCGAGTGAGTCGTCGTTTATCTATCGGCCAGATCGTCGTCTGGAGATTTGGCGCTTCGTCTCTTACATGCTGTTGCACGCGAACTGGTTCCACCTGAGCTTCAATGTGGCCACGCAGTTGCTGTACGGATTGCCCTTGGAGTGGGTGCACGGTTCGGCGCGCATTGCCATCATCTATTTGGCTGGCGTATTTGCCGGATCGCTGGGCACCAGTGTCGTCGACTCGGATGTCTATTTGGTGGGCGCCAGCGGAGGCGTCTATGCGCTACTGGCCGCATATTTTGCGAATATTTTGCTGAATTTCGGTCAAATGCGCTACGGTATGGGACAACTGGTGCGAGTCGTCGTATTCGGTAAGCGATTGTGTTTCTCTTTCGTTAAGGTCGTCATTAACGATTTATGCACACATAATACATAATTACCATAAATCCAATTTAATTGTGAGAAGAGCATAGTAATTTACAAATTTTCGAAATTAACCACAGTTACTGATGTGCCATCACATACACATGCACTATGGTGCACACATTCATAAAATTGCAGGCCTTCATGCAACACGGAAGCACCATAAATCTTTCTAACACAATTTTTAATTAATTTATTTGCTTTTGTTTTTCACTTTCATTACAAATAATTCCAACAGTTTCCTGGGATCTCTGCTATGCAGTCTACAATAAGTATTACAACAATAATAACAATAATAATGCTACACATGCAATAGTCAAAACCACAGCAACAATTTCGTATATCGCTCACCTGAGTGGCGCGTTGGCGGGCTTCACAATGGGTCTGCTGTTGCTAAAGAATTTCGACAGTCCTCACGCGTCATCATCGAAAACGCTGTGGTGGCTGGCGCTGAGCGTCTATGCGGCTTTTATGACATTCGCGATAGCGTTCAACCTCGTCAACACGGTCACTGCACAAATGCTCGAGGCTGAGGGTGAGGTGGTTGAGCAGCGCTTACTTCATAATTTGGGCATTACATAAGCGCCCATAACAACATAGGCGAAAATTAGTTAACATCTAGCTTAAAAATTAATTTATGGCTGATTAAATAGGTTAGAAAACATTTTCAATTGAATAAAAAATTGTGTTACTGCGATTTTGGGTATTTGAGTTTCTTGAGTTTCAGAAATGGAAGTATAAGGCAAAATTAATTTTAGATTTCAAAATATCTTTAGTTAGAAAGTAGGTAAATTCCAACTTTTTAAAAACTTTGTTCTATGAAAAACCCTCTGTCACCTATGACCAGAGTAATTAAAAAGTCTCTTCTAAAAAATTTCTCTTAATATATTATTTTACAAATGCAGTGCTAGGTAACGCATACCCGAAATCTTAGTACTTTTTGTGAGTCTAAGCGGACCGACCGTGCGTTTTGTTAACTACCAGTTTCCGAACAGCAAAAAAAAAAACTAAATTTTTCTCAATTGTGGAAACGCGAATTCAATATTTCTTTACGTATACCCATAATCTTAAAGTTTTGAACACTTCGAGACAGCTTTTACAAAAATGTAAATACTTCGATGGCGCAGACTGACTAAGAGACCAGATTCAAAATATGCGCGAAAAATAAATATCTAGCTCAGAAAAAAATCTCCTGAATATGTTCTTCAACACAAGCAGCATTTCTACGGTCAAAAATATGCTAATTTCTGTTTGTGTTGTTTGAAGCTTTCATTCACCTTTCACTTTTCTACTACCCCTGATTACTACTACTGATTACTACTACTCTAATCGAATATATAATATTATATGTACGTGCATACGTATGTAGGTATGCTTGGCTGTAAGACCTGAAATGAATGAAATACTTAGATCCGAATGCATTGACAGCTTTTAAGCTCCTAGTACTTCAATATTATTTTACGTGCTGTAATTTCGCAGAGTCTTGCTTCGCAATCGAAATGAATTCATTTAATTCTAAAACAAAAATGTGAAGTAAACGAATTTTCTGTGATTGCTGCCAAAGACCGAAGTGAATTCAATAAAAATGAGCAATTTAATTGAAATGCAAATACAAGTGAGTGTAAGTGAAGTATTTAATGTAAAACATAAACACACATACACACATACACACAAAAGTAATAATCGGGTCTCAGCGGGATATTATGTAAGAACTCCTAAAAGTATTAAATAACATTTCTATGTGGAATGGAATTATTTAATTTAGATATTTATTGAGATGTTCAAGATGTGCATGTTTGAATAATTATAACCATTTTAAATTTATAAGGGTTGAAATAAACGAATATTAACAAGTTTGAAACGACTTTAATTCAAAATTTAGGTGTATTCAATATTGATTTGATACACGAAAGAGGATGTGTGCAAAGTTTCAGATCAACATCTCATAAATTGAAGGACTACTTCGTCTATATACAGACAGACGGATGGACGGACCGACCGATGGGTATTAGAAAATCTACTCAGCTCGTACTGCTGATCATTTATATACATATATATGTTATATGGTCTCCGAAGTTTTCTTTTGGGCATACAAATAAAAAAATATAGTGTTCAAAAATACAGTTTATCAGAAATCTGCTCTCTAATAGCCTTTGAGTGTGAGCAATGCCTTAACAATTAGCATGCTTTCGTCGAATAAGGGTTCCTGTTCATAGAGGCTTAGAAAGAAATGAGATGACGGACTGTTCAGCTAGAGAAACAATTTTGAAAAAATCCACATCTCATCAGTAAAATATTCGGGAAATGAAGGGGGATAAAGAAAAAGGAACTGACTTCCATTGTTGACCAGCACCAAGTGAAATTTCTAATAGAAATGATATTTATCCTACCTTAGGGCCATTATATACTAAGCTATAAACAGATTTTTCTAGAGCTAAGAAAGGAAACATTAGTGTTGGAAAGTATTGAAAACCATTACAGGTGAACAGGTGAAATTCGAATAATAACAAGTAAGGAAGAGCTAAGTTCGAATGTAAACGAACATTTCACACTCTTGCAACTTGCAAGGAACAAAGGCGGAGGAACTCCTTCAGGATTTGACAACAATTTATATCAAACTAAGGAAAGTATCGCCGAGATTTCATTCATTTAAGGAGGATACAGTGGTAAAATTATTTGTGTAAGGTAAAAAGGGGTTAAGGGAAGTGTTGACCTGATTTTACACATTCTTGACACAAGTTATAGGGCGATTTCCACTTTTAACTTTATTGATGTTTGATTCGTAAACTGTAAAGTGAAAAAATCAGATGGAATTTAAAAGTTTGTTATACGGGAAATATTTGGGTAACCTCACCGAATTTGCTTAAAATCGGTTGAGTAGTTCCTGAGATATAGGATTTCACCTAAAGGTGGGCTGTGCCACGTCCCTTGTGCAATTTTCACACCTGTTATCCTGGTTGTGAAATTTAATGCATTTATTCAGTCAGTTATAGTATTTTTAGTACTTTTCAGCATAACCGTTATATGGAGAGTGGGCGTGGTTATTATCCGATTTTACCCATTTTAACAGAGTTTGAATAGGTGATCAAATCACTTCTCAGAAAATAAGGTTGATATATCTTAAGCGGATTGGAAGATATGTATATTAAACTATTTAGGGGGCGGAATTCCGCCCACTTTAAAAAATTTATTATCCCCAGTTGCCCCTCAAATATATTTACAATACCAACCTCCCTTGGGTACCAAGAAATATGTGTACCAAGTTTCATCAAGATATCTAAATTTTTACTCAATTTACAACTTGCACAGAGGGACGGACGGACGGACGACCGGATTTCAACTCGTCTCATCATCCTGATCATTTATATATATACAACCTTATATCTATCTCGATAAGTTTTAGGTGATCAAAACTATTATACTCTGTACTTGCAAGAGTATAAAAATCTTGTCACCCAGTACTGTAAATCGATCGTGGATACAGTTATTATATTTTACATAATATTACTGATGTTTGCTTGAGAGCTGAGATGCTATTAGTATTATATACAATACATATGTATATGAATTTTGTCGGATACAAACTCTAATTTTGATTATTACTTTCTGAGTGCTTTTGATATGCTTATATAAAGTATGCCGTTGGTTGGGGTGCAGACTCTAAGGTTTAAAAGTAAATATAACTGTAAATATAATAATTGTTATTCTACCTTGAAAATTGCAGCAAAAATGTTGCCAACTCTATTTAACACTTTATTAAAGTTAAAGAAATTATTATCAACACAAATGTATTCACACACTCCACTTTTCTATCGGGAATCGTAGTCGCATGCCCAGTATTTGTAATGTGAAATGCCAGTATTATTGCAATAGTTATGTAATTGAACATTTAACAGTAAAAGTTAACGGCATATTTTAAAATAGGTCTATACGTGAGTATGTATATGTGCCTGTAGTTCTGCAAATCGAGTGTTCTTATTGTTTGTCGTTGCACATATTTACTGTCATTTAATAAATAAAGCATAACTCGTAATTACTGCATTTAATTGCAAAAGTATGGCAAGTGTGGCATATATGGCTGTGTTAACGTGTGCAGCTGAGTGAATTTCAATAATTGATGAACGACTTTTTAGTTAACAGAGAGAATTTTCGCCTGCATTTTCAACTTCATATGTTTGTAACACAAATACACAAACACATATTATATATACATGGAAGTAAATAAATATGCGTAACACTTAATTTTCATGTGCAATATCCGCTATGATATGGAATTCGCAATAAATCATAAACTTGCTCGACATTTAAATATTCTGACACAGCAGGCTGATGGGTAGGCTGGAAGACGAGGGTTGGGCGATTGAGTTAATTAAAAATTCATTTGTTGTCGAACTTAAGTGTGCAATTTTAAAAGTGACTCTTACTTTGCGTCCATTGTTTCTGATGTAGAGGTCATGCACAATGTGAAACTGCAACTATAAAGCAATAAAATAAATTTCTGAAGGATATCTAATTGAGTAAGTCACAGTTCACTAATTCTGAGAAAAAAATTTAGCAGAATTTTAGAATTAAGTTTCAGTACATTTAAAGTCCAGCACTTAGAGTAAAATGACAAATCGTTTACGGTTTCGTTTATTTCGAATCATAAAAATTTGTAATTATACTGTGGTATTTATATTTTGAAGCGAACTTTTTATATTTTTAGATTCAATATTTTGACAACAATAACATAATGCAATGTTGTGAAAAGTTCGCTGAACTCGTTTATAGAAATTAAGCCAGCGTTCAGCAAAGTTATTTGCATGTATTTTTCTCCAGTCTCTCATTACACTCAAACAGCTTTTTGTCTAAGTATATAACATCCAATCGAGAAAAAAAGTATTTTAGAAAGTTTTTGAATATTTAAATTTTAGGGCCTGCTCTCATAAGATTAAAATATGAGTATAATTTATATGATAAACTGCTCTCCAATTCAAATAATGTGTTTTTAAAGATAATTATTTTGGCATTTAATATTATGTGTGTGTATGTGTATTTGTACGAATATATTTTGCTTTAATTACGTTTACATAATTTGCCTGTTAAACAGTTTTGTATATTGTTTTTTCGTTTTTTGCTTTCTGTTTGCTTTTGGTGTTTTTTTTTTTCCCAGCTGATAATGCAAATTTATGCTTAATGTGTGTAAAATTTATGTACTCTTGCGTTAAGTATGGTGTATCATTTTTATTATGCCACAAATAAACATTTCAACCGCAATTATTATCATAATAATTAAATAAATTAAAATTATTTGCGCAAAGTGTTTGTCAAACCACTTTTTTGCTTATTAATGCAACTAATTTACAGAAATATTTTTGTTTATTTATGTAGGACTGCATTTGTGAATAACATAAAACATATGAATAAAGAGAATGGCAGGCTTTTCAAAATGTCTGTCAATTCACTAGCAGATATTTATATGGCCGTTAGGCTGAGAGTATATGTAGCGCAGCACAAGGCAAAGAGATACTGACACAGATGTACAAAATTTTATAAAACAACATAGTCATAAGTTAGTAAGTGTCTTTAGATAATACTAGTTTTTTCTAGTACTTGGAGATCCTGTCTTGGGCCGCAAACTCACTGTTGGCAGCTATATATTTGAAAAGTTAAGGGTTTTGTATATTTCGGAACCAGCATAAATTCCACCAATAATTTAAGCCTGGAGATCAAGTGCAGAATAACTCTTTCCAACAGGGACCGGTAGAGAATCGAAAGAAACCTGGACGATGGCGAATCGAGATGAGAAAACACTTGGAGCATTCGAGAGAACTGTTCTTCGCAAGAGCTTTGGAGCCGGCCGCGTGAGCGAAGAATATCGTAAAAGATGAAGCCACGAGCTGTATGAGCTCGACAACGGCATTTACAAGTTAATAATTAAGTATATAGTTAAGCGCATAAAAATCCAACGAATGCGCTGGTTAGTCCATGTCGTTCGCATGGAAGATGCGGCTTCATCGAAAAGGTCCTCCGATTCGAGAAACATGGGTGGACAAAATTACTCACTTGCTTAAGCCGCTATAATGCTTCGAACTCCAAACGAATCAAACATCGGAATTCGAGGGGTGTTCGAGAAGTAATTTATGAAGTTTTTTCTGTGCGTTTTCTCTGAAGGTAATCTTCTTTCAACTGGTTGGAGTAAATGTCAAGACTATGAGAAGAAAATGTTTACTTTGTAGCAGTTTGTGTGCATATGGTCCATAATTAAGTATATCATAACTAGTTGGAAATTGGCAAATTAATTATTATCCATTATAGGGTTATAGTGCACAAAAAAAATCTAATTAGAATTGCCTAATGGATTGGTAAATATGTTTGGAAGACCCTATCGATAACTAATTGTCCAGCTGGTTTCCAATAAATTTTGCTGATTTCGATGTGCGAATTTAATTCATTAGTGGTCATAAATAAATAGCAATAAAAGCGGCTAACCAATGCGTTTTGAATGCATTAGTGTTTCATAACAAATATATATATATATGAATATGGAAAATATGAATGGTTGACAACCGAAATATACCACCGGCTGTGGCGGCGCGCTTGCATTGCAAAACCAAAGAATTCAGGTTGCAATGCTGAAAGAGGATCGCGCTGTAATTTGAATTAATGGTTCCTAATTTCATTACACTCCATTCACACACACATGTTTATATAAGTACGTACTTAAGTTCATGTTTGAAGCGCATTTCATTGGAGTCAATATTTGGTAATCAGAATTGCAACAAAAAGCATACACACACACACACTTGTACAAAAAATCGCCCAATTTGTTTGGTAACAAATAAGCAAAAACGCCACTGTAATTCGGCAGAA